ACTGGTATCAGACGAACCATCACACTGGCTCGTTCACGGCAGCCACGAATCGATCCAAAACCAGCTACTTCCTTAAAGTGATCCGTTCTCAGGCTGAGATGTTCGCGTGATCGGCGTTCTGCATGGCCTAGGTCACGCTATCCCCACTGGTGGAGCTATGAAGGATTGGTACTGTGACGGGAGCTCAAGATAGTGCCAATTTCCCAGCTCTTACCAATGATGCTAAGCTAAGACTTTCACGCTATTATACGCACCCGCCGGGTTGCGTATAATAGCGATGAGCCCGTTGAACGGTAACATTAGGGTCACGAGCCAAGCTAATGTGGCAGAATTACTCGATGCTGAGGCGGGGGTTATTCGTGAGAGTGCACGTTTCCATGTTGCATCGAAATATCGAACTGGCCTTGAGAGGCGTCTGATAGGAGATGCATGAGTGAGCAATGAGATTCTGGTATCTATTATGGCCAACGTTGCGGCTCTCGATGAATTCACAACTTTACTTGCATCACCAAGGATTTCTCCTATTGATGAGCTGAAGATCAGGACGGAAATTCAGTGCGTGGCGGGTAATATCATCTTCTTCGATCAGCTAGTGAGCAAGATGTCGTTATAAATCGAAACTAGGATCACCACCTTCCATCTAACCGCTCCATTCAGATGCATACATGAAATCATAGAAATAACCCGAGTGAAATCACACAACCGGGATCACGGCGTCGCTACCAAATACATCATGAAGCTAGTGGTACCGACCTCTCCACACTATTTGACATACACTCACGGCTCATGTTACAGTTCATGCATTCGATTGGTAGATCAATAATTGATTAGACTAGATTATACTCATTCACATAACATCGGAGTAAACCGGGTTTACTTAACCCCCGCAAGTTGAGATTGATTATTTCGTATTCCTGACTATCCAGCTGAGTCTGGTGGTTCGAGCTTTTGGCACTTTTGATTCGGCGCTGGTATGGTGGTCTATCGTGAAGAGGTAGAGAGTTATTTTTAACTGACGGCGGAACTCCTACCCCGTCAATATTGACGACTGAATACTAGATATAGTGTTAGAGTGAGTGTTGTGGTTTAATCACTAAACTTCAGCGATAGACTCGCAGAGACAGAGAGAAAACAAGAGATGGAGCAGCACAATTGCGAAGATCGATCACCCCATCCCATCACCAGGCTGCCCCTACGGGGAGACAGGCGGTATGTCAGTGGCTACGCAAGATATGTTATTGGAGCCAGCGCCGCGTTGGCAGCGCGACGCCTCGCCGAAATATGATAGGAGTGTCGGTGACCAGTGAGTACATCAAGTAGGTGCAACAAACGTGAGTAACAAAGACGAGACAGCCTAGCCCAAAGCTAACACGAAGCTTTATATAGCCAAGTCTCACGGTCTTGATGAACAAACCATTAAAGATGACCGCCAATAAACGCTCCAGTAACTGGAATAATTATCGGCCTCGTAGGCGGGCCAGAACCTCCTCGCCTACTTCACCCGCTCCATCACCTATGTATCCTGATAGTAACACGTGGGAAGCACTTAGGTGTTACACTACGTCATTTCTGGAAGACGTCTTCGCTTTGACAGGGAGAACAGTGGTCATGAGGCGACCCCAAGACCGTTCTCCCTTGGAGGCCCCATTGGGGCCCGTCCCCACGGCCGAGCAAGGAAGACTTTCAGGTAAGTTCCTTCTTCCCTGCCTTTGTATTCTCCTTGCCTTCAGGTGTCCGCCAATCCGTTCTCTCGACTCTTCCCACTACTACTACTACTACACTCACCACTCCCTCACAGCCGAGTCCGCCCCCTACTACTAGTACTGCCCCGTTGCAATTAAGTTCTACTACTACTACTATCATCCCACCACAGCCGAGTCCAACTCCTACTTCTAGTACCACTCCTACTACTACTATCATGCCACCACAGCCGAGTCCAACTCCTACTCCTAGTACCACTCCTACTACTACTACTATCATGCCACCACAGCCGAGTCCAACTCCTACTCCTAGTACCACTCCTACTACTACTATCATCCCACCACAGCCGAGTCCGACTCCCGCTGGTACTACGATATCATCACATCCAAGTCAGCCTCCTTCTACTACAACTGATCCAGCTAAGTCAAGCTCTACTGCTGTCTCTGCTGAGCTGGCAGAGTTAAGGTCTGACCTCAGAGCTCTCACTGCTCTTGTAGGTCGCTTGGTGGCTGCTCAAGCACCTACATCTTCGTCCCCTTCCCTTTACCCTACTCCCGCTGAGGAGGGTGTGGATGATGTTAAGGAATCATAGCAGCACCTATCATATCGTTTCTTGCGTTTGAGGTGTTAGTTGTGGGTATCGAACCTGGGTCTACCGATAGGAAATTCACACACTTACCATTAGCTAATTTAGTACTACTGAACCATCGATTCTACTAGGACAAGCTGTACCATCCAGTGCACCTCGGTACATTTCTTTCAAATACATTTTTGCCAAATACTCCTATATCGAGGTTGAAAGGCATCTGGGAGCTGGTCCATGAGTCTCAGGCTCTCCTTCCAGGCTGGTTCCAGCAGACCTATTCCCCAGCTATGTTTGGGCTGCTCAAACACAACGCCAGCAGGGTAGCAAGGATCTAGTAGGATGTCGAACAATTAGATAAGGTAGTCCAACTAGCAGAAAAGCATCCCTGTTTACCCAGACAGAGCTGCTATCTCCGAAAGAGGCACCCCAGGTTCGCAACCTGTGAAACCTCTGATCTGCGAGTTCGGGAGGGGCAGTGGTCGAAAACCACAACACGGAACCCGTAAACTGGGTCCGTGATTTGTAGCTTTCGGCAACTGCAAGGTGGATGATCTCTCGTGGCCGGTTTTCTAACGCAAACCAGGGCCGAGGTGAACAACTACCTCTCGCTAGACCTCGGTTAAATAAGGGAGATAAAAAAAAATATGAGCAAAGACCCGAGTATAGCTCGCGTTCTTTGTAGAGGCTGGCACGCTCTGGACATGCTCGAATGAAACGGGCAAGTTCTCGATCGCCTCAGCGCTGGGGGATCCGCACTATGATAGGGAAGTGTGACACCCAATTTCATCCTAGTTGGGTTCGTTGCACAGCAGCTGTGCAACGAATCCATTGACAGTGTCAATGGATGTCAATTTGACACCCACGTAGCTGCTACGTGGGTGTCAATGGAACAATGTCGAAGGTATTGGTAGGATCGAGCTTGATTGGACCGTTTTTGGATGATTATGGACCGACTAACCGCGATTGCTACCTCCTCCCGCACTCCATGGGATTTCATGCTTGCGAAAAGAGATGTTGAGGAAAGTCAATCAGTGGCAAGATTGCTAGATTTATAGCGGTTTCTCTATTCGCTCAGTTTCCTTCGCGTGTCACCGAATCCGTGATAGCTTGCGGGCTCTACCGCCGGGGTAGATTTGGTCGCATAAAGCGCAGTTGGGAAGTTGGGATTTGTCAACTTAGGCAGGTGCTCTCCTCACCGCTAATCTGAAGGCTTTTGGCAGTAATTTGCTGAGTCCTAATTATGTGTGGTATCTTCGCGTATTTGGGCGACAGACAGGCACTTCCTTGCCTAATCACGGCTCTCAAGCGATTGGAGTATAGAGGTTATGATTCAGCCGGGATTGGTATTCATAACGGTAAGCATATAAAGATATGTAAGAAGATTGGAAAGGTGGTAAACCTTGAAACTGCTTGTGGTGGTGTCAACAACCCGGAGTATGCCGGTACTATGGGTATTGCTCATACTCGTTGGGCTACCCATGGCGCTCCCACCGACGCCAACGCTCATCCTCACTTTACTGAGGATCATAAGGATTGCTGTGGTCCATAATGGTATCATTGAGAACTACGCCAGTCTTCGTGAGGAGCTTATCAAAAAAGGGTATCATTTCACCTCAGAGACCGACACTGAGCTTCTTGCTCACCTGGTTGCTGATGTCCGTAAGCAGATGGGCCCTGACCCTTCATGGTCTGTTATTGTCTCGTGTGCATTAAGCATTGTGACGGGTGCCTACGGCGTTGTCTTTATATTCGAAGACGAGCCTGGCCTCATGGTCGGTGCTCGCAAGGGTTCCCCCCTTATTTTAGGCGTTGGTGAAGGCGAATTTATGCTTGCTTCCGATGGATCAGCTGTAGTTGAGTACACAAAAGATGTGGTTTTCATCAGAGATGGAGAGCTTGTCGAAGTGCGCAAGTCCGGTTATCGCTTGAGGACAATTGAAGGCATCAGCGCCAGAGGGATGTCTATTGACGAGGACGTTACCAACCCCTTGGTTCAGCTGGAGGTGTCTCTCGAGCAAATTGAGAAAGGTGGTTATCCTCATTTCATGATTAAGGAGATCATGGATCAGCCTAACTGCATCCGCAACACATGCCGCGGGAGGCTCTATCAACCAATGCAAGAGCAAGAAGGCGATAGCCCTCCAAAATGGGATATTAAGTTGGGTGGTCTCAGCACTAAAGTTCAAGGGACAGATAGAACTGCCTTAGAGACCATCGCTAGTGCCGATCGTATCATCATCTGTGCCTGTGGTACTTCGTGGCACTCCGGCCTTATTGGAGAGTACCTTATCGAACAGCTAGCTCGTATTAATGTTGAAGTTGAGTATGCTTCTGAGTTCCGCTATCGCAACCCTCTTCTCACTTCAAAGGATGTCGTTGTTGCTATTTCCCAGTCTGGTGAAACTGCCGATACGCTCGAGGCTATCCGTATTGCTAAGTCAAATGGTGCACTATCTATCGGTATTGTCAACTGTGTTGGCTCAACTATAGCCCGTGATACTGATGCAGGCATTTACCTCCATGCTGGCCCCGAGATCGGTGTCGCCTCCACCAAGGCTTTCACCTCCCAGGTTATGGTACTGACTCTTTTAGCCTTGACCTTGGCACGTCAACGTTACACAATCGAGGAGGAGTACTTCTACACGCTTTGTGAAGAACTTCATAACTTCCCCCAGTATATCTCGACGGTTCTGAACACCGCGAGCCAGGTCAAGACTATATCTAAATTCTTCCGCATGGCTCATAACTTCCTTTTCCTCGGCCGGGGAATCCATTTCCCTGTTGCCTTGGAAGGAGCCCTAAAGCTGAAGGAGATATCTTACATTCATGCCGAGGGTTATCCTGCTGCTGAGATGAAACATGGTCCCATCGCTTTGATTGACCGTATGATGCCTGTTGTCTGCATTGCTCCCAAAAGTGATCCGACGTATGATAAGGTCAAGGCCATATCGAAGAGGTAAGGCTCGTGACGGAGAGCTCATCATAATTACAGAGGAGG